CAAAAATTACATTAAAAACAAAGCTTAATTACGAAATACGGATCGAATCTGGTGATAAATCAGGGAAAAACAACTTATCGGGTTTGAATTTGGCGAAACAGACTTCGTATTCGGATTCAGGATGTCGAAAAACATAAAATATGACTTTTCAAAAATTTTAACTTTTTTGTCCAAGTCAAAGTTGACGGTTTTGACTGACAATTTTGAGGCTTTCGGGTTAAAATTTTGAAAAACGAACTTCGGAATCGGACTCAGGACGTCGAAAAACATAAAATATGACTTTTTAAAAAAAAATTGACTTTTGGTCAAAGTCAACGGTCAAAGTCAACAGTCCCTACAGTTTCTGAAGCTCCTCCACTCGCAGGGGCGGCGCGTGGGGGTACGTGAACAGTGCTACGGTGTCCGTAAAATTTTTAAAAATTATTTTATGGCATTTTGAGACACTTACCAAGCTCGGTTCACAATTTTGAACAGTGGAGAGCTCTATTCCGAAACGTCAGAAACTTTGACTTCCTCACCCCTCCACGCGCCGGCGAAGACGGAGACACGGAGCACACCGCTAGACTCTAAACGATGCAAGGAACACGATAGTACGGGAGGTGGCAAAAACGGGTGGCCGGATCGACGTGAATCGACGAAAAACCAACGGAGATTGAGTTAAAATCGACAATACTTCCGGTTGAAATTTATGAAAAACGTCCCCGATTCACGACGAGAGATTTGGGGGGTTTTGTTCTTCGGTCGACAATAAACACGATGGTAGTTTCGGTTCGTCGAACGGTGCTCGGACGGTGAATAGATCGGAGCTTAAAGTGGGTTGACCGGATGAGGGATTTGAGGAAAAATCTGCCGAAAATATACGGGGGGAAAGGGGTTTATAATTCATCATATAAAAAATGGGTTAGTCACTGAATTTCCTGCACTTCTTAAAATTGTATTCTAACTTTGCGATTTTACACTTTAATCCCCAATTTCTTTCAAAATACCACTTTAAATCCAATACTATATAATTTCTAAAATTTAGCCCCTAAATTGTGGTGTTACAATTTCCCTCAAATGATCAATCATTTTAGGTTTTCCTAAAAAGAAATTAGATATTTTTAAAAATGGGTCAATTCAATTTCTACTTGAATACAAGGGATCGATCCATCTCATAAAAGGATCGATCCTTTGAGCAAAGGGATTGACCTTTTTGCTAATGGATTGATCATTTGAGCAAAAAAAATCCTAAAAATAATTAACTTTTAAGCGTGAAAACGATCGAGTAATTGTTTGAAAATGTTCGATTATGTTGGAAAATATTTAAAACATATTTTCAAGTTAATTTAGAATTTGAATTATTTTTAATATTTTTTAACAAATTTGATTAAGCTCAAAATCAATTTTACAATAATTTATTATATCAAAATAAAAGTTTAATATAGAAGGAAATGATATATAAACTACCACAACTTATTTTTCCTATCCCATGTAGGATTTAACATTTTTAATTTCATCACTAATTAAATTTCTATATAGGATGTAACACCATAATATGATCCGACCTGAAGATCAACCGACTAAAGTATCACATGGTACCACCGAAGTGGTTAACATAAATTTTTTCTTTAAAACACATGAAAATCATCATTTAAATACCATTAATTGAAACCATAAGATAAAAACATAAGATTTCAAGTTTACAAAATGGGGAGCTCCCAAATATGTCCTAAAATAATACAATTCAAGTATTTCAAAATAAAATTATGACTCGAATACACGAAAGACTATGAATAGTATATACCCTCTAAGAAAAGACTCAAGACGTGCTCTACTACTCTGAACGGTATGGAAAATAGGTTGTGCAATAAGCTCATCGAGATCCTTCTAAGAACCTGCGCACAGAAACAAATTCTGAATGTTGAGCTCTCAATCTCAATGCCACACTGATAACTAAACTATACTACATGCGTTCATTATATGGTCATGCTAGCAAGTAAGGACATAAACATACAAGTACGCTAACAAACATTTTGAGGTAGGCATCATGATGTGGTCAAATTATTCGTTACATCTCGGGACACACCCCTCTATCCGACCTAAGATGAGACTCAAAATTTTTGCATAAAAAATTTACACCCGGTAAACCTACTCCTCGTGAGTACAAAGGGCATTTACGCCAGACTAAAAACAGAAGTGCCTTGATACTAACTAAGGTATATCTAGATATTCTAACATACAAAACAATCGTCATACTACTATAATAACTTGGGTGTCATTATTGTTTCCTGAGCGTCACACAATTACTAGTTTTATGATATCTTATTTCATAATATTCTTAAGTTGTTAATGTATTCACATATTGTTCTCACTTGTAGTTTTATTAGAGAAGCTTTGTGATCCTAGGCCCCATTCCCAAAAACCCTTGAATCAAAACATGTTTCTTGCCCAATTCAGGACGATGGTACCGATACTAAGCCTTTCAATATCATTATTGATCTTTTAGTATTCGTACCCATCTTTGGTACCGATACCAAAACTAGTTGTTGCAGTCTAAAGAGACCTTATGGTATCGATATTAAGCTTTTCAGTATTGATACTGATCATTCATTATCGATATTCACCCTTAGTACCAATATTAAAATTGACTATAGGAATTTGAGAAAACCTCATAGTATCGATACGCCTAGTTAGAGTATCGGTACCTTTAGGGACTGGATTCGATGTTTGAAAATTAATAATCAGTATCGATACACACTATTAGTATCGATACCAAAATAGCTGTTGGAATCTGAAATTTGAATATGGTATCAATACCCCTATCTACATTGAAGTAAGCCTCCGGACCTTCGTTGTGTGAATTTTGAAGCTCTAAAACTCCTATCTTCCAGTTTTTTTTCTTGAAGCTTCCGGAAGCTACTTCAGACTACTTTCAATTTCAAGTAATTTACTGTAATATTATTTACAATTGAATAATTATTAAATTATTAGTGCGTTATTTCTAACACTGTCATCTTACTCAAGGTTGGAGTTCTCATTCATATTTGTCCATTCTAATTAATTCGTACTTCTTGTTTTACAGTAGGCGGCAATGTGATTTTTACATGTATCTTTCAATAAGGTCATAGTTCCATAATTGTGATAGTGTCAATCACGTTCAAGTGTCAAACTCACCTATAAACACTCTAGGATTGAGACCAACACCAACTAGGGTTCTTTTAAGTAAAAGCCTCATTTAATTCTCCCTTGTATACATATATTCAGAGATCGAGGGGCAGGAAAGAGCCATTGTCCCTAAAAAATTTTAAATTCTCATCTATTTTAAATATTTTCTTAATATTTTTTATTAAAAATATATTTCATCCCTAAAAATTTTATAGATTATCACCTCCTTAAAATTTTATAAGTTCATCCCTCTTAACATAAAATCATACCTCGGTCGTGTATATATTCTCCCTCGTTATCTGACTTGGTGAAGGATAAAAATATAGATAGTAAACGTATATGCAAGGGAAAGGCTGGCAATAGCATATAGAAAGCAAATGCTATGAGAACCCATTCATTGATCTGTAATGATGATGGGGCCACTGTAGGTAGGACTCTTAAACCCTGTCTTTTATTATCTCTTTCTTTCCTTTCCTTCTAGCATGCATAACTATCTGTATTTTTAAAAATGTGAAAAGAAAAAGGAGAGAAAAGATTATATATAAATATTCGCATGTAGATTTAAAGGGTATTGGATGGTTGAAGAGACAAAATTATATAAGCAACTTGCTTTCTGCTGTTGTTGCTTGCTCTATCTATTATCTTCTTCCTCTGATCCTCTGACTACCCTTTACTTTTAGCCTGCAAATATATCTTTTTCAATTGTTCTCAACATATGGCAGTCCCCCACTACTCTTATTTATATTCAATCCTAACAAATGTCACTGCTGTTACTTTTTCAAGTTTCAATCCCACTGTTTAATTGATGAAATTGTGCAGAAATGTTGAAATTTGAGTACCGCTTAATTTAGTCGGTTTTACTCTGATATGTTGGTACCAAAACTAGGGTGTCAGTCATGATTAATACTATGATTAATGTAAAGCTTTTAGAATGAGAAAGCAATTATATTAAAAGATGATTGTTTTGACTGCAATTTTTTCTCTCTGAAAGTCACTGCGCATGAAATTTACATAAGCAACCAAAAGGATGTCAGATCATTTTCCCCGCTAAAAATATATATAAACTATATAAAAATCAAATCTAACATTTCCAAATTATATAAACATATAAACTATGCAATTAAGATTGAAATATGCTTCTCTAATAATTTCTCAATGCTCCCTATCTGCAGAAATATATGCTCCTTCGCACCCACCAAACGGACCCAAAAAACCCTATCTTTTTCTAACCCCACATTATTGATTATACATCTTTTCAACTTATGAAATTATATTTTATACTAAGATACCCTCAACTCTTTTTCATATATATATATATATATATATATTACATTTTATATAATATTAGTTTTATTATTCTTCCTATCTATATAAACAAGCATCTTCTTTTTAAACATATTACTGTGTCAATCATGTTACTCCAGAATAGCTCAAGGTAGATGAAATATCTAATTCCCTAAATACTTTGCATACATGACTTTGTTTATGCTTTCATGTTCATAGCTTTGTAGGGGCAATTTCTTCAATCTTTTTCGTTTTTCTCTCATTCAGTTGCATTGACTGATGCTAACTAGCAGTGGTGTTTCTTCATGATCAAGTAATAAAGATTGTTTGATCCAAATTTGTCTCTGTTAGAAGAACTGCATCAAATATTCTTCATTTGTTGGATACCTTTTTGGTATGTAGTTTTACTCAAAGTTCTACCAACTATTATTTCTTTCAGTCCTTGGATTAATCTGTTGAAGTTATTTTATCCTTTCATCTTGGCTCAGAAAAAAAAAAAGGTTTCAGTTCAGCCATGGATGGCTTGGGTTGGGATAGCTTAGAAGTGGAAGAAAGATTCTTAATTTCCAACTCAGGCTCTTCCATTTATGTTGACAAGATGAACCTAACAGAAGATATCTTCATTAATCCAATTCAACAACTCCATATAAGACCAGATTCAGATATAGTATCTGAAATGCATCCACAAACACTACTTCCTGCTTCAGATTCAATAAATGTTGCCACAAACTTTGATATGCTGAAATGGAGAGATAGGTTAGCACAAGAATGTTGATCTTCTCCCTTTTTGAATAGATCATCAGCTTCAGTTTCTGATATGGGCATGGAGGTTCACTCGCAAGTCATCACCGGTGCTACGAAAACAAGCTCTGTTGAGTCCCTTGACTGCTTGCTCTCAGCTACTAATAGCAACACTGATGCATCAGTTGGAGATGATGGGATTTCAATGATATTCTCTGGTTGTAAGAGCTTATGGAACTTTGTTGCTACCAGTACTGCTGCTGCAGGAGAGTCCGGAAACAATGGCGCAAACGCCGGCAACGAGATAATGTCTCAGATTTCTTCAGATCAATACATCAAGACTGGTTGTTCAAAGAGAGGCAATGGAGAGTTAAAATCTGGTCTAAACTTTGGTTACTTTAATCTTCTTCACACTGATTCTTCTACAAGAGAAGGTGGTTTCAAGCTCGTTACTGAGAACCAACCAAAAGCAAAGAAACCCAGATTAGAAAAGGCGGTCCCAAGGTCACCCAACATAAAGTTTCAGCTTCCAAGTTGTTCATCAGCATCATCTTCCATCGATGAGCCCGATCCGGAAGCCATTGCACAAATGAAAGAGGTGATTTATCGAGCAGCAGCGTTCAGGCCTGTAAACTTAGGCACGGAAGTGGTGGAGAAACCGAAGAGGAAGAACGTTAGGATCTCGACTGATCCACAAACCGTGGCTGCAAGACAAAGGAGGGAAAGGATAAGTGAGAGAATTAGGGTTTTGCAGAGGCTGGTACCTGGTGGGAACAAGATGGATACCGCATCAATGCTTGATGAGGCTGCAAATTACCTGAAGTTCCTTAGGTCACAAGTCAAGGCACTAGAAAACTTAGGTCCCAAGGCAAAACATAATTTTCTTTTCTTAAAACCTAATCATATCCACCACCCATGATCTTTTCATCCTTTCATAATTCATCACAAATCAGTAACATACAAAAGAAAATAATCCCAAATCCCTTAATCATCAGTTTCATCGTTATATCTTCTGTAATCTAGAGTTGAATTCAGGTCCAAAAGCTTTGTAGTTATAGCACTTATGATTAGGATGAAGGGACATAAGTAGTGATTAGGATCACTTTATTCTTTGTTTAATGTATTCTCTGCACTTAAAAAGCTTTGTTTTTTTTTGGAGCTTTTATATATAACTCTTTGTTTAATGTAATCTCTAAGACTGAGAGAGTGCAAATCAGCCAATTTGGGTGTCTCCTTGATTCAACTCAAAGCGTGATATTGAAAGCCACCCCCACTCTAATTGCTTACCACATGTTTATGCTTCTCTTTTGGCAAGTGAATTTGCAAACGATACATATATATTATTAAACTCCTAAGTCTACTTTATATAATCCCTAGATTCATCCAAAGTTACGATATTTTCACGATGAAGGTTTAAATAGCGTTCCACCAACATAACAATGAACGTTATATAGTGATAATAGTGCTATTCACAATTGTTATTATATGATCAGAATACCCACAATGATCGCAATAGTATCTATTATGGCCACAATCATGAAATGCAACACAACCGAAAATGTGGCCGCAACCGCAATTTAAATTGTCATGGAATCATACAAAATGGAAGGAATTTGTTTTAATACTCGTAGATATTGAATCTCAGCTCATTGATCTTTATCAATTCCCAGTTTGGATCAATGTCACAAGATACAATACTTATCAACTAAATGAAATATTTTGTATTTCTCTCCGCCAAGTTTTTTGGAAATTTTCAACCTTCTATGCTCGTTCAAACTTCAAATCAATGATGTTGGAAAATGTGAGAAGACAGCTTAAAGAGTGTGGTTCCATAAGACAAACTAAACACGCCTAGCAGTTGAACTCTAGCAACATGATAAACACTTTGGAATCTCTTATTGTCATTAAATTCGGGATTGAGGGGAAAACATTTTAAGTAAAAAAATAAGTTTAATAGGCTGTTTTTTCCTTGTTAAATCTTTGTGGTAATGGATGCTTGTTTACCTCAATAGATTCATAATGCTTGTTTACTTGACAGGACAAATATGGAAGGAGAAGAAAATTCAGTGAAGAACATATGAAAAATTATTATTATTATTTATTCTTTTGGTTTTCACATGAAAACACTATATGAAAACAATATAAAATCTTAAAAAATAATATCATTATTCACTAAAAAGGAAAGTTGAATTTATATACCACATCCAAATTGTTAATAAATAAAAAAAAGGTATATAGAAGAAAGAATGGAAAGGCAATTAACTGATTGGATCGGCGAGTTCAGGGCTGTTTTTAACAAATCCATACATGATGAGGTGGCCAGACGATGTGCAGCCACGACAGCAGATCCGTCCCACGATTAACTCCTTTTTGCATGGGTGCAACTTCTCCCCTTTTCCTTTTGAAACCACTAACCCTTGTATTTATACTGCTCTCGGCCCTTCGAAAAAGCTGAAAAGGAAGTGAAAATCGTGGGTGTTTTTGACTTTTGATCGAACAAGAATGTCGTGGCAAACTTACGTTGATGAGCACTTGATGTGCGAAATCGAGAACGGCAATCATTTGACCGCCGCCGCTATCATCGGTCTCGACGGAAGTGTTTGAGCCCAGAGCTCCGCTTTTCCCATGGTCTCTCTCTCTTCGAGTCTCATCTTATTCTTCAATTCTTCTTCATCATCATCTTCTTTCATGATGTATATTTTCTTTCGATCTTCACTCTTTCGTTGACAGTTTAAGCCCGAAGAGATCACCGCGATCATGAAAGATTTTGATGAGCCTGGCTCTCTGGCACCAACTGGGCTGCACCTTGGTGGCGCTAAGTACATGGTGATCCAGGGAGAACCAAGAGCTGTGGTTCGTGGGAAGAAGGTCAATCCTTGTACTCTTTCATTTATCATCTTTAATTGTGAATTATATTACTTATTGTTGCTTGTTGGCAATATTTTTTTAATTAATTATCTATTTTATTGATTGTGTTCACTTATATATAAAAGTTATATACTAAAAATTTGTGCTGTTAATATATTTAGAAATGGTTGTGATTAATCTTTCAGGGCACGGAGGGCGTGACCGTGAAGAAGACTGGGCAAGCGTTGATTTTCGACATATATGAAGAACCGGTGACTCCCGGACAGTGCAACATGGTGGCTGAGGGGTTGGGTGACTATCTTGTTGATCAGGGTATGTAGCCCTTTTAACCCCTCTCCTCCCCCAAGCCTTTTTGATTTCCTGTTGCTTTTTCCCCCCTTTGCATCTCTCTCTTCCATTCCCATTAACTGGCTTTGATTTATTTTTTTTCTTTTGGAATTATTGATGATAATAAATCATGCTAATGATTCCTGGTTTTTCTATGTTTCTCCCTTTGTTCTCTGATTTTGGCAACTCACTATAATATATAGTATGTTGTTCGGATTTCTTTCATGTTATGGTATTAGTGGAATTTGATTTAGGGCTATATATCTTTCTAAAATTGAAGTCATATTATTATTGTATCGTGTTCTTTTGAAAATTTTAAATCAATTTATTATGGGCTGGATTTAAATTCATGGTTTTCAAGAATCTTATTTAAAAGAATAATTTTAAAAAAAATTAAATTTAAATTCACGCATCTATTCAAATTACGATTTCTTATCGGAATCACCCCAAATATTTAAGAAAAATACGTTCCAACTCATAATGTTCGAAAAATAAAATTTTATTATTAATTGAAGTATTACATGTATATTATCAAATATGATGCTAGGTGATTTATAATATATAAAATTGATTTGAATTTTCTCTTATCTTAGATGAGAAACTTTTGTAATTTGGATCGGAGAGATCATATTGATCAATATTATTATTCTTTAACTAATAAAAAATATATTTTGAAATTTATATTAAATATTTTATTTTAAAAAAGTTGGATAATTCAATTCACTAATGTATGCCCCAATAGAGTGGATCAATCAAACAATACTTATCTAGAGAATTTAAATTGGTAAAATGACTGAAACGTTTACTTATTCATTAAACCTTAATATTATTATATTTAATAAATACAATATCAAATCTGATGTTAGATTATCTTTAATATATAAATTTGATTCGAATTGGTTCCAACGTGAGACATTCATGTCAAGTGAATGCTCAATCTAATTTAATCATTTTATTTAGAGTGAACTACATTCACATGTTGGATCAAAATCAATAATTGTAGGTATATACGTACAAATTATAACATTGTCCTAAAGTATCATAGAAAAAAGTGTAGATATCATAAGTTATATTTATAGTTGGATGAGAGGCAGAATTATAAATAGGCTTAATATAAAAAGTGCCTAAACTATACTCTTTTTCCCATTTATGTGCCTAAACTATTTTTTTGATTAATTTAGGTGTATAATGTTACAAACATTACCATTTTAAGTGCATCGACCGTAACGATCATTAAAAAATTCCGTTTAGTGTCACATGTCACGTTTAGAAATTTTTTAAAAAATTTTTAAATAAAAATTTTAAAATATAAATTCTTTTAAAAGATTCCAAAATTTTCAAAAATCTCAAAAAAGAACTCAAAACTTTGAAAATCTTAATTCCAATCCCTATACTCACACTGACCATCATTGTTTGTAGCCATTGCTGTTGAACTTCCACCTGATCGAAGCTTCACCTGAAAAAAAGATGAATCAGACAAATTCTCTCAAAACTTTGAAAATATTTATAAAAAAACTAGGTGAACCCAACAAATCCACGTTGCCTGACGAAATCGATGATAAGGGCGATGACTGCTAAGAAGGGAGATGGAAAAGGTGGCAGCGATGGCAGTGGTCAGCAAGGGAGATGGTAAGGTTATGGTTAGGGATTTTTAAGGATTTTTTTAAAATTTTAGAGAAATTAGATTATTTTTAAATATAATAATATTTGTCACACCCCAAATTTTACTTAAAAATAATAATTTATTTAATTAATTAAGGGACCAAAATAAATAATTCTGGAGATTTATGGGTTAAATTTGAATATGTAGGACGTTTAGGATTAGCCATAAACCACCTGGCACAAAAAATAAAATAAGGGGTGATTGGAAGGGTTCGAACCCCTGACCATAAAGTAGCCAACCATCACCTTACCAACCGGCCTAGGTCACTATTTGTGACTTAAATTATGAATATATATATATTTATTATAATTTAGATTGGGTTATAACCTAGATCCAAGGTAGAACCCCCTTCGTGCATCAAACCCTAAATCCTAAACTCTTATTCTCCAACCCTAGTCGCCGTACCCCTCTACGGTTTACCCCTCTCCAACTTCCGTTACAGTGCCCCGACCCTACCAACGTGACCGGCGACCTCGTGCGGCCAAAACCCCTCGTATTCCTCAATGAGATTGATCATCGATCATCGTGATTTAAGCCGAAGAGTTGACCAAAAACCCTTGTGTTGCCACCATTTTTCCCTCGATTCCGACCATTCTAGCTATCGATTGGCTACATCGCTATCACGTCCGTACTCCCCACCTCCTTCCGCTCAAAACCCGACTGGTGGGTTGAGTTGTCATCATCATTTTCCTTGTCCCCGACATACGTAAGCGTTTCGATCTTTTTTCTTTTGTTTCGGTGGTTTTAGTTGAAATTGAGCGTTGTTGTTGCTTGTATTTGATGTTTGGATGATCTTGGAGTAGTTAGCAACTGTCCCTAGACCCGTCGTCATCGTCACGCACCGTCGCGTGTGCATGGGACTCGTCTTTTCTCTTGGAAACGTTCTAGAAACGGTCCAACCGGACCAAATCAACTCGAACTGGTCTGAGTCAACTCGGACCAAGCTGAGTCAACCAGAACTTGGTTTGATCAATTAACCATGACCCGAAACATTGACCTGCCCCTGACCGTTGACCTAATTATTGACCGTTGACTTTGACCAAAAAGTCAAATTTTCTGAAAAGTCATATTTTATGTTTTTTGACGTCTTGAGTCCAGATCTGAAGTTTGTTTTCCAAATTCAAAGCCAACATCCTTCGAATTGATCGTTAAACCTGAAAGTGCATATGTAATTTAAGAAATTTAATTAAGTTCATTTAATTTAAGGTCAATAACTGAAGTATGTTATCGTTTATTTAATGTACTTGTGGATCTCCTGATCGTTCGTCTGCTCGACCCGGTTCCTCCTGATCCGTCCGTCCTTGCAATCCCATGATTTCTCGTATAGATCTGTAACCCTGTTAAATATTTGATTTAGATTATTACTCTGATTATAACCCAGTTCTGATATGACTTAGGTTCTCATACATCAGAAGAGCGTATTGAAGTCGATGCTCGATAGATCTCCCGGAATGATTCTTTTTGTGATGTGTGTTCCTTGTGTGTCATATATATGTTTTAAATATATGTTTGAAATACCATGTGCACATGATTGTTTTATATGATTTACAATGTGTCTATCTGTTTGACTTGATTCCGTATGAATTATCTGATTTAAAGTCTGATTTCTGATTTACTAAAGTAAGCCTGATTGGCTGATTTCTGTTCTTTGGTTACTATTTTTACTGATAAATAAATATGTCTGAACTATGATTTCCTGCTACCACTGGTTACTGTCTAAAAAATATTTTTCTCTGGGGTACTCTGGGATTTAGTATGAAGTCTCTGCAGGTTCATCTCGGTCAAACTGGTAATTCCTTATATAGGTTCATATTGATCGAACTGGTAATTCCTTATGGAACTAAGGTGACCCTTGGGTGGGCTCCTAGGCTCAGTGGGCCTAGTGATAAGACATTATGGACCCTAAGGTACTCCTTTAGGGTGGCTCATCTGCTGTGTGCATTGGGTAAGTCCTTATAGGCCTGAGGGCACACCCCTCAGGCGGGCACCTACGCTTCGGCTAGGGTTATGGACCCAAGGTGCTCCCTTAGGTTGACACCTACGTTCTTTGGGCCTAGGGTAAGTCTTTATGGATGCAGTTCTGGGGAACTGCATATGGTGTTCGGTTTGAGGGCGATTATGTGTTTTAAGTTAAAAACACTACTAGCGTTTTCACAATTTGGAACTGAACTTATTTTGGGAACTCTACTGACATTTATGTTTTTATTAATGAACTAATTTTGAAATATAAACTATATGTTTATTTCTGCACTGTTGGAACATACTGAGCTCCCTAGCTCACTCCCTCAAACTTGTCTCTTTTCAAATATTTTGGATACGCATCCTAGACTTTGCACTTGGAGGATCAACACATTAGTACAATGATATTTTGTTGTAATGTATTTATCTTTCGAGCTGTATTTATTTTAGGTGACATGTTCCTATATTTTGAAAATGTTGGTTTTATGATTTATATTGCCTTCGATACTGATGTTGGAATATTTTATTTTTATTAAGTCCATACGACGACTTTTATTTACGGAAATTAAATTTTAATATTATCAAATCTATTGTTAAAGATGTTTATTCAGAATATGGTTTTAAATTATTGAAAATGTTTTGGAAAACTTTATCGTAGTCCGCTAGATTTGGTCGTAACACGTAGGTCGAATCTAGGGGTTACAATATTTTTATATAATATTTTAAAAATGATAAAATTTTCAAAATTATCATAATACAAAACATGTCACTTAATAGTATTTTTAGTTATCGTTACGGTTGAGACACTTAAAAATGGTAAGATTTATAATGTTAGACACTTGGATTGACCGAAAAAAATTTTTGGTGCCTAAATAGAAAAATGGATATAGTTTGGGTACTTTTTTATATTAAGTCTTAAATATACATAAAAGATTGATTTAATATTTAGTCTATATAGAGAAATAGTGATCCTCAATAAATAGGTTAACTTTTATTACTCCTATACCCGTCATAGAGTTTTTACGGTGAGAGAAAACTTATCTTCTTAGAAGATCACAACTAAAGAAATATTCAATGATTACAATCTATTAATTAATTCAGGTACGCTTTTGTATCTAATATTTTATTTTCAATCATTTGACATGCTAAATCTTAAATTATTGATTTTATGTTTATTATGATTTAGTTCTAACATAACAGTCATTGGACTATACAATTAGTAAGATTAAGCTTTTGTCACTTGAATTTATTTTAAAGAAAATTGTATACCCAAGTTTTGTCTGGACTCCAAACTTATCTGAACGAGCCCTTTCCTTGGGGAATGCTAGAGAGCTCGTTCACACTAATCATGAAGAAAAGAAGTATAATCAT